TGACTGCTGTGATTCTTTAATATATGTCGAAATTATTATTCGAAAAAAAAGTCATATTATAGTATGTGGAAAACAAGCTCATAGTATACTATGTTGAAAAATATCTCCTTATATAGTATGTGTTACATTTGGAAAAAAAGTCCTAGTATAATATGTCGAAAATGTAAATGAAAAGTCATAGTACAGTACATAGTACATTTTTAAAAGTATAGCATTAACATTGTCATTTGTTAATAAAGCTATTTCAAAAGTCCTAGTAGAGTATGTAATTGAAATGTCACCAAAAGTCATGGTTAAGTACACCTTACAATGTCATTTAAAAAAAGGTTACAGTAAAGCATGCCACAAAACGTTAGGAAAACAACAACCATAATATTGGGCCGTTAAAAAGGTCATATATAAATAATCCAGTTTACGAAAGGTTGTCCTACTATGGTATGTCCTATAAAGATCAAACTATGTTACACCATAATAATATCTTATTATAGGGAAAAATATCATAGTATAGAATTCAAACACACATTTTTAATTAACGGAAACATTTGAAATAAAAACATCATACAGTAATAAGCAAAGAAAAAGGTCCCAAAGTGAGAAAAATAAATAAATAAAAAGCACATCTGTGTTTTTTCATACTGAGTGCTTTTCTCTGTGAAAGGCTTCATTATTCCACTTGGAAGACGGCCATGACAGGCACAGTTGACAAATGAACAGCCTTAATTGTGTTGATTATTTTAGCTTATGTTTGTTCATGACTGGCACTGAAACTAATTTAGAATACGAAACTCAATTATCCACATATTAAAACAGCACAAATAGAAGCAAATCATAATTCTAAATTCTTTGAATAAAGAATTGTGAAAATATTTGCTGGTCTTCATTATTGTGTCTGTTTATGCAGAACAAGAAACACCACTTGAGAAACACTCTTTATCCTTCAATTAGCACTCTGTCACATGACATGGGCATTAAGGAATGTGTCCTGATGAGAAGTGAGATGAGAAGAAGCACGTGTTTTTCACGTGCATATATGTACTTATGTCACTTCCAAACTTCTTTCCTAGTCCAAACTTGAAGTGTTTGATCACGTTTTCTCAAAATGTTTGCAGCTTCTTCACTTTCTACCGTGAGTCTGGTCCTCAGCTGATGTGTTCTTACAGTTTAATCCAGTTAACACTTTCACTTCATAACAGCAACTGTTTATCTTTAAACTACACAGAGCCTTTCATGTCATAATGCTCCAAGTAGGCTTAGGCTTCTGAAGACACTAGGAACATTTCAGAACTTTGCACAATATTGTTTTTATTCAGGAGTTTGATATGTATGCATGAAACGTATGAATGGTAGATGTTTAACCAAAACTAACAATATGTTTTTATGAAAAGTTAAACTATGACTTAACATTGGGAAAAGTTCTCTGACCACCAGGGACACTTTGACATTTCATTTCTGGTCAAAATAACCTCTTCAAAAATAACATAAGTGTAAAGACAAAGCATTGCTGGCAGAAATCTGCACAGAAAGGACAGGAGGCAGTGTTCTTATAAGGAGGGGACATTTTATTTATAACACATGGTGCTGACAGGGGTCTCCAGCTCAGCTTCTATATTACAAGGTTGATCTGCAAGGCTGCGCATACTGTACGGTATTTAGAAACCAAGATTGCAGTGGCACTATAAACACACGCTCGAAACAACAGACTCTTTCCCTATTTTTTCATTTTTTTTCATTTTCTTACAAAATGGTACAAACAACAATACAAAATATTTGTGCTGTTGACAATTTACAAAAAAAGTATTTTAACTCGATAACTGTGCAATCGTTTTTTTCAGATTTTTTTTTTTGTCCTTCATTTGAAACTTTGAGTATGGTACACCAGAATCCCTTCTGGACTGCAGCCTCGGTCATGCGGGCTGCAACAGATTTTAAAATGTTGTATGGTTACTGTAATAGAACTCATCTGTCCATTATAAAAAGACACATGCAAAAAGCTCCAATTGTACAGGTACAGTTTGCCTAAGTTGGTCTGTTTAGCATCAAGCAAATACTACATTATGTACACTTGGACTTGAGCAGTATTGGGAGAACTCGTATGAAACACTGCTGCCTGTCTGTATTTGTAGTTCTGGCTTAAGCAGAGCAGACGTCTTCTGCTGGAGCCTCCCGTGTGTCCTCGGTCACGTGTGTGTCCTCGGTCAGGCAGTCCCCCGTATATAAGTGTCCTTTAACTAACACCAGTCACAGGCAGAAGAGTCAACATGAAGACAGCAGTGCAATAGTTCTTCCGTCATTCTATCATTTGCTAATTCCCTCGAAACTTAAGCAAAAGAACGTCAATAATACAAGAGGACCGAGTCCAAGTAATGATCAATCTTCCTTCATTTCCCCCACATTTAAACGGGACTCAAAGGTTCGCTGCCACTTGTCACTGCAAGTCTTTGATAACATTCAGCATCATAATGGCATTGTGTCATGTTTGTATGTATGACACAGTTACAAAAGTGACCTTGTGTAAAGTGTGTGTGTGTGTGTGTGTGTGTGTGTGTGTGTGTGTGTGGGCCACCTCCTGCTATGTTTGGCCCTGAACCCCCATCTTTTACATCTGTTAGAAAGCATGAGCATTTTCATTGAGCCCACCTTTATCCTGTGAACACTGGATGGCCTTCAGTAATGTTGGAGCTCTGAAGCTGACTTAGAACATTGCTTGAAAGAGCTCATGTAATATCGAACACTCACATATATACAGTAAGGCCTAGAGGAGTGAGTGTGTGCTAATATAGACTGTACAAGTTGGTCTGAAGTGATGAAGCTAAGCTTGAACAGCGATGCAGGCACGGCTGTAAGCTCATACAGAATCGCACGGATTCTCTAAAATGCACATGGCTTTTTGTGGTGAAGTATGCCAAGAATACATTCAAAAACAAAACTGGAAATCAAAAGCAAACACCACAAAGAAAACAGAGAAATCAGGTAACCAAATGTATCAAAATGTTCCGAATATACAACATTTATATGTCAGAAATAATCACAAATAGCAGAAAGTAACAGCTGTGTTTATTTTGTAAAGATATTCCGTAGGCTGAGGAGCAATCGGATAGATACGCTTCTCCAGCAGAACGCAGTGGGAACCGCTCAGTTTCCGCTGGAAGCCGACAGCTATCCTGAACACCGCCGCTGTCAATGTCGACACCTCCAGGTGCAATTTGAACCATTTATGTATTCATCTAAATCACCACGTGTATACCCTGTTAATCTCTTTAATTACACTTTGACCTTTCTTCATTGTCAAACCTCATCCTTATTTCATTCTAATGACATTATGAATATTTGCATTAACATTTCCATATCTTGAAAAGTGAATTCCTTTCCATCTACTTTGAACATAAAGTAAAACAAATTGTTACCACTTGGGAACGATTGTATTTATCTACAGCCATTCATATGAACTATGAGCAGCTAACGGGTGAAAAGCAGCTGGAGAAAAATAAAGGGCCTCTTCTGAAGCACATGGTCGTTACTGAGATTTCCTTCAAGCGTTCATAATTAATAGAAGACCTGGTCAACCAGCTGAAACATCCGAGGAGTGTTTCATCGAGCACTCAGAAGATAAGGAATGATTTAACCTTTCTATCATTCGGCAGCATATCCCTGGTCCCTTCTTCAAAAATGTTTTGCATATTTCAATAATTTAAAACAAAGACTAAAGTGCTTTCTTTTCAGTTCTCTGTATGCGATTCTGGGGGGTCTGAAATGGGATGACAAACACACATGGGTAGTGCTGCATTTTCCATTTTAAAGTCACATCCACACTGTCTTCTACTGAAGCTTTAGCTTTGCATGTATGCTTTCATAATACTTTGTAACAGACTTTTCCTCCCTCTAACTTCTTTTCAAAACCTCTTGAACTAGGAGCCAAAGAATTCAAGAGAAAATTTGCAATGAATGAAATGCTGCCTGAACGGAGACAGATTGTGAGGCGCTAATTCCCTGGCTCAGGCTCAATTCTCTCAGTTTCTGCGACATGGACCAGCACCAAAGTCTGTATATTAAAAGTTTTCTGAGAAACAACAGTGAATCAACAAAAGAGAAAGGAAATGAAAGAGAGAAAGGGATCTCCGAATGGGGCTCGTACACTCTTCCTGTAACGCTGTCAGAGCTGAGTCACATTGTTTTTCTTTCCCCTCATGTTTGTACAGTTTAAATACTTTTCTTTGACACATTTACCACACAATAGCTGCTGCCATGTTAATTACCTTTGGGGCAAAGGGACAAACATGCAAACCTTGAATGATCTTGAATTGCAAACTCTCTTTAAATAACCCTCATTCATATACAATAACATTAGAGAGGTAACACACGTGACATGTCAATCTTCAAAGTTCAGTTACAAGCCTTATCGAGTTTTGTGCAAATACTGAGCGCTCAAAACAAACACAGCTGCTATTGAAGCCACGATAAACAAAGACACGCAATGCATTTCTTCTCTAAGACAGTCCCATGAAGTATTCCTGTGATTTCAGGAATCACATTCAAGTCGGCTGTGATCTAGGAACACAGATATGCCAGACTTGAAGAGTGAATGAATCGTCTGACAGACACACTGTAGGCCTAGGTGCAGTACGTCTACATAAAGCGCCCTCAGAGGCCTGTCTACTCTCCTCTGAAACTGACACTGACACTTCCTGCAGCTACCACAGAGCTGCAGGGCGATGAGAATGACAAGGGAAGGTCTGCGTTAAAGGGTCAGGGGTCATATGGGGGCATGTAAGCCCAGAGAATGGCAACCAATCCTGAGTTAGCGGGAGTCTGCTAAAAGATGCGCACCACTGAAGGCACTTTTTAAACAACAGTGCTTCTGTTCTAAGTAATTCCAGTTCAAGAAAGAATAAAACAGGACCCTCCGTGCACGAAGGACTTTCATATCGGTGTTCTTCTTTTTTTCCCTTTTTGCTCCCCGCAGATAAAGCAAGCCGCTCAACCTAAAG